GGTTTGTTCTGCTTACTGACTTACCGTCTTGTATCTGAGTGGGTGGTAGAGGGTCTCCTCCTTCGTGTGGGCATATCGACACTGCACAGCACACAGCCAACCAGCCAGCCAGGCAGGCAGCATGACAGACACCATTATGTCACAAGCCAGCCAGGTGTGCAGACAACAAGCAGTGCCTTCCTTCCCCCTTTCTGTGAGTACGTACGTTTCGTTTGTTCCTGCAGCTGTTGTTCTCCAGGCTGAGCTTGCGCTCATAGCGGTTGCGGGAAAAGCTCACGTCGGGGCACAACGTCGGCCTGGCGAAATCAGTGAGTGGGGTCGATATATCAAACAGGTAAGGTGGCGGGCACTTTGATTTCTTCTCGGCTTTTCGCTCACCAGTATGAGTAGGCGAATGGGTCGCGTCGCTGCCAGGCCGTCGAATGGCTGTTGGGGCACCGCTGGGAGTCACACGCCTGCGGATGCTCGCAGGCACGGGTGCGGAACGACGCCAACTCGTCTGAAATAAGACAAGACAGACAGCAGAGAGCGCCTTCCAGTGGCCGTCAGTCATTCCATGTGCGTTTCTTGACCTTCATTCAGGTATCCGTATTGCTGCCCCGTGAACTCGTCGACGTACGTCGTGAAGCGCTTTGACTGCTTTGACGGCCGCTGATGCTCCATGTCCTTCCAGACGACAATGCCGCAGTCTGGACCTGCGATTCAGGGGAAAGGAGGAACAAACGCTTGGGAAGCGATCCATCTGCGAGCTCAGCTCCAATTTCGTCATTTGGAGGAGCCACGGATTCTAATGAATGCGGTGACTGCAGTTGGTGTGCTGATGCTCCCTTTGCAGCCTGAGATGACCGTCAGCTGATTCATCGACGAGAGCAGATCTCCGTCTCGCCAGCCGCTGCGCAGGGTCGGCACAATGGCAGATCAGCTGGTGGCTCAGCTGGAGCTCTTGCGCAAGGCCGTCAGCGACGCGTCGGCAGGGCAGGTGACCAATGGCCGCAAGATGGAGGTCCTCCGCACCCTTCCGTCGCTGCTGCCGTCGCTGCCCAAAGACGCCATCCGCAAGCACCAGAAGCACCTGGAGGACCTCACGCACCAGCTGGTCAAGCAGAACCCCACCCAAGTCATCAAGCGCCTGCTGGCCGTCAATCTCGTGCTGCTTTATCGGCATGGCGACTCGGTCACAGTGACGTCGACGGTGAGTCAGCTGGTGCTGACGGCAAATAGTCCGAGTGCCAAGGTGGCCCCGCCTGTGAGGGCGGCTGCGTTGGCCGTGGTTGGGGAGATGGTGGCGCATCCGGGCGATCCTTTGGCTGAAGAGGGTGTGGTTGGTCTGGGAGTGGGCACGTGGCTCAGCAGCTTCCTCCCTGAGATTGTGTCGGCCGTCGGCAGACACCAGAGGGTCCCAGAGGTGAGCTGAGCAAGGAGAGCCAGCCAGACGAACACTCTTTGCTTTTGAATGATGTTGGTTGGCTTCTCGTCGTCTGTGTGGTCAGGCGGGCATCCGTGAGAGCGCCCTGCTGTGTCTGTGGCGGTGTCTGGAGGCCATGGGCGGGATGGTCGGCGGCATCACACTGGCCAACGAGGGATGGAAAGTAATCAGCAAAGCCCTGGCAGACAAGGCCCCCTGCGTCCGGGCGGCGGCATACAAGTGCCTGGGTGCTCTGGCGTGGTCGTCGCCAGTGGCTTTGACGACGCACTTCGACTCGATGGTGGGGCTTTGCGTGAAGAATGCGAGTGAGGAGGGGGGAGGGGTGGACAGGGGGGGCAGGAGGGACCTGGTCGAGGCACTCGCGGCCATTCTCACCATGGCTGCATCGCTGCCTGTTGCTGATGCACAGACGGTCGGTTCCCACCCCACCCACGCGCCATAGAGAAACGCACATCACACATGGACACCCATGAAATCTCTGTGTCCGTGAATGGATGGATGGCTGCAGGCGCCCTCGAGCATGGGCATGACGGTTCCCTGGCTGTCCACCCCCACCATCACCACCATGACTATGGACAAGAAACGCCGCGCTGTCGTCGACACCCCGTCCGCCCTCACCTTCCTCACCTCCACCTTCAGCAAACCCAACCAGACCCCCCAGCTGCGCGAGACACTCGCTGCCACATACGTCACCGTCTGCACCTTCAAGCAGGCCCTCAGCGAGCAGGCCATCCACGCGGCCTACGGCTCAGAGGGGCCCGACCTCAGCGAGGCGTTGCAGATATGGCTTGACGGTCTGGGCGTTGGGGGCGAGAGGAGTGCCTTGGGTCTGGTGGGGTTTGCCGGCATGCCGCAGGCCATGCAGAGGGGGGCGGGGTGGGGCAACACCCTCGATGGCTGGCATGCTGTCAGGTAGGAGCAGACAGACAGACAGACAGAGAGAGAGATGGATATCGCTGTATGTGCCCTTGTCTGTCTCTCAGCTGCGTGTCGCACAGCAGCCGGGGTCTGGTTCGGCTTGCGCGAGGGTCAGCCCCGGGAGGGCCGCTGGCCTCGCTGATCGAACGTGTGCTGTGCCCCTTCCTGACGGCTTATACGCCCAGCACGTCGCCCATGCAGATGGTGTGTGTCCTGGAGGTCCTCGCGTACGCCTGCTACCAGGTGAGCTCTCAGTCGGGTGGGTGGGTGCCAGGGGAACAGTGAGTGCCATGGAGGGAGCGGGGGGGTTCATTCCTGTGTTTGATATAATATGTATATGTGTGCCAGGCCGGTGAGAGTCTGTGCACCCTGGAGACCCAGGTGACGGAGCCGCTGCTCTACATCCTCTCATCTGTCCAGGTGAGCCATCACCCACGCGGACTGTCATCTCACCATTCATGGCTCTGTTCCTGTGTTTTATCTGCAAATGGATGGATGGGTGAGTGCAGGGCGAGCACGCTACGCTTCTGCAGCAGCAGGCCGCCTGGGGTCTGCGGATCATCGCACACGCGTCGCCCCCCAAGCTGTTCCAGCTCCTCAGCGTGCTCCTCAACCTGTCCACCATCGACAACGCTGAGCTCATGGCTTTCACCTCAAAGGACGCCGCCAAAACCGACCCTGATGGCCGGTTCCTGGAGGTGAGAAATCATCTGTCTGTCTGTCTGTCTCTCTGTCACATGAAACACGCCCCTCTCCCGCCTGTGTGTTCAGGGTCATCTCCGTTCGCTGTGCGGTCACTGCACGGCGCTCGCCTCGCTGGTGGCCGAGCTGTCCCCCCCAAACACCAACTCGCGGCTGGCAGTGCCCCACGACGTGACGTCGGCAGTGATGGGGACATGCAAGGCCCTCACGCAGGCGCACCCGCTGCCGCCCGTCTTCTCGCAGAGACGGCTCTGTGCGTTTGTGTTGCTGGAGCCGCTGATGGCCCTGGGGGACGACTGGACGGGGGCGAGGCTGACCACCGTTTTTGCGTTGTGGAAAAGCGCATTGGGGAAGAAGAGCATTGATGGCCTCAAGTAGGCAGGGAAAGGACACACACATAGAGGGAGAAAGAGGTGGATGGATCGGTGTGATTCTGTTTGCAGGCAGCTGTATCAGTACCACCACCCGTCCCCAGGCGAGAAGCCCTCCCCGCCCGACGGCGAGGGCGCCCCCTCAAAGGATGCCAAGCCCACCGACGAGCTGCTCGTCGTCCTGGCCGCTCTCAAGTCGCTTCTCTCCTTCCTCAAGCACTCCAAACACGGCCTGCTCGTCTCGCTCCCCCACCTGCACAAGATCGTGGTCGTCTTCCTGACCAACGTCTCGCAGCTGGTGAGCTTCTTCCCCCACCCCTACTCGATGGACGGCGGGGGGCCGAGGGGGGTGACCTTCTCGGGGAGCGAGTGCGGGATGGGTGGGGTGCTGTTGGCGATGCGGGCGGGGCTCTATGAGGCTTTTGCGGCGATTGCCTCGACGCACTACGCTGGGAGGTTTGTGTCGCTGCTCAACTTGCTGGCGGACGATTTGACGAGGCCGGCTGCGTCGCCCGTCTTCCCTCTCTACTCAATGGTCAGCCGCACAGGCAATCAGAAAGCACCAAGGAACGGGGGATAGCATCGTCTCTCGCGTCTGTCTGTCTGTTCAGGTGTCCGACTACCTCCCCAGCAGCGACCACTACGTCGATCTGTCGGACCTCCAGGCTACCCAGCCCGACACGCCCATCACCCTCCCACAACCACACCCCTCACCCAGTTCCACCTCCCATCAGCCGCTCGATGACGACCCCGACGGCCCGATGCCGCCAAACATGGCGTGTGTGGCATTCGGGGGGCGGATGGGGGGGCTGGGTGTCTGGTGTCCGCTGTGGGACCCCTGGGACGTGAGGGAACCGACGGGCAGGCCGCTGCTCATGGAGAGGGAGCCTCTGGAGCTGAGGTGTCGGACAGCAGCATTGTGTCTCTTTGGGGAGATCATGGCAGCCCCCAGTGTGCCAGAGAACACCCGAATGACGGTCATCCAGCATCTCATGAAGAAATACCGCCAGTCGGCCCCGCCATCCACAACCACAGGTGCCAGCACTACCAGCGGCATTAGCGGCACCGCATCCGCCATCCCATCTTCGTTGCACCAGCACCAAGACCTCTCACAGGCCGGCAGGACAGCAAGCACATCCACTGCCACAGCGACAGCAGCATCGGCCGTGGCGAGCATCATCAAAGACCTGCCCAACCTGAACCTCAATCGGCCCGCAGCAGGTAGCTCCTCCAGCAGTGCTGCCGCTGCGGGGTCGTCATCCGGCCCGCTGCACACGTGGGACGCCTCGCTGGTGGTGCCGATATCGGTCATGGCTGGGGTGCTGTCGTATTTGCTGAGGGCGGCTGCTTATAGGGGTCAGAGGGACAAGGAGGGGGGCGACGCCGGCAGTGGTTTGGGAAGGGGTGAGGAGGATTTGATAGTGGGTGTGGTCAAGGAGGGGCTGCTGGCGCAATCACCGCTGCTCGTCAGGATGCACGTCGAGGTGACCACAGACAGACAGGCAGACAGACGAAATACGAGAGAGGGGCAACGGTATTCTCTCGTCTGTTGTCTGTTTGTCTGTCTGGTCATTGACTGCAGGTGTTCAGCCTTCTCTTCGTTCTGCATGAGTTGCAGAGGGAGAGGTCGTCTGGCGCAGCCCCGCCCCTACTCGACGTAATCCACCAGTTCACAGCCAACAAAGCCAGCCCCCAGGCACGGGCCTCCGCCGCCCTCCTCTGCGGCTCGCTCATCCGATGCTTCTCACAATGGGCGCCTTCGCTTACCCCAAACTCGACCCCCTCCCCCTCGCCCTCTCCCTCTGTGTGTCCCTACCTGCGGCCTGTAATGGGCGATCTGCTCAGCCTCGCCACTGAGACCGCCCAGCCCGGCCGCCTGGCGATGCTGCACGCATTCGGGCTGATCATGGATGCCACCGGTGGGGCGTTCCTGCCCTACATGAAGGACAGCCTCACCTTCGCCACCGCCCACTTGCTGGCGGACCCCTACCCCAATCCACTCATCGCCGCAGCACTCAGCCACATCCTCATGTCGGCCGTGACGGTGGTGCTCTCGCCTTCTCCGGGCGATGCGGGCGTGAGAGAGGAGGCCCTGAGCAAGGTGGTTGGGGTGTGGAGCGAGCTGCGATTCTTTCCTTTTCCGGAGGCGACGGCGCCGCTGCACTGTGCGGTGATGAGCGTGCTGCGGCGGGTGGTGCTGGTGGCGCCGTGGAGCTTTGATCTGTCGTCGTCTGAGCTGGCGGGGGTGGCGAGGGTGCGGCTGGACCACCCATGCTCGACGGTGAGGTGGGCGGCACTCGAGGCGCTGACCGCTCTGCTCAAGGCTCACATGGCGCTGCCCGCACTGCTGGATGAACAGGTGGGTGGGTGAGGATGACACCCTGACACAATTCACTGAATGCGCCCACTCTCGATTGTGTGTTTTTGGTGTGATGGATCAGCTTGACGGGCTGTTGTTCGTGATGCTCGACGACGAGGAGGAGCCCCTGGTGTTGGCTGCCGCGCGCCGGCTCATTGCGCTGAGGCTGCAGCAGGAGGGCCTCTCACAGCTGCCCAAATGCATCGGCCTGCTCAAGTGAGTACCTAACCTGGCAGACATGGATGGATGGATGGCAAATGGCAGACTCGTGCTCTCATGGGGCTCCTTTATCGATCCTGTCTGTCATTCATGTCAGGTCAGTGCTGCAAGGCTCATCTGCCTCCGACTCCCTCCGCCCCGTTCGCTCTGTGCGCACATCCCCCGCCCCCCCACCCCCCCGAACGCCCTCATCTCACCATGACGAGCCGCCCAACGAACAGAAAGACAGGTAGGTAATAATGATGGGCACAACACAGACAGACAACCGACAACAGTCACCCACTAATAGTGTTATGTGCTCCCGCATTGCATGCAGTTTTGACGACGATGTGAACGAGGACTCGACCCCTCCCACGTCGCCCACTGCAGGGGGCAGAGGCAAGGGCGCGTCGATGACATCGTCCGGTCAAGGCCTCAGCGATGGGCGAGAGGGGGGCGGCAGGGCGGGGTCGCAGAGGGGCCTGCCCAGCGGGCTACAGCCACGGATGGCCCCTTCGCTGAGCAGGAGAGGGCGGGGGCGGAGCAGGGAGGCCAAGGCGACTACCAAGGCGTTTGCTATCAGATGCCTCAGGTAGGTACACATACATACCCACACCTGTCTGTCTGTCTGTCTGCATGGATGTTTGTGTGCACTCGTCAGGTGGTTGCTGGAGCTGGCGAGCCCCCACGATGCATCACGACACTACACACTGGATCCTGAGGATGTGCACGGGAGGGGAAGTGAGGGGGGGAGTGGTGGGGATGATGGCTGCCTTGGTGGGAGGCTGGTACACCACCTCGAGACTCTCCTCTTCCTTGCCTGTGGGGCCGTGTCGTCGCCCCTCATGACCGTCGCCGAGGAGGGCACCCACCTGCTGCTGCTGCTTGTGCAGAGGTGAGTCGGTGGGGCTGTGGGTGGATGGATGGATGGATAGCTCGTCTGTGTTGTGTGTGTCAGGTTCAAGCGCACCAAGGACCCCCACAAGCTGACTGACGACGACAACGAGAGGGATGACGGCGAGAGTGCCGACCGCCGACCCCCTCTGCTGCTGCAGTTCGAGGCGCCCCTCTTCGCCGCACTCCGACAGACACTCCAGCCCGACTGCCCGCCTCCGATCGCCATACTCGGGCTGCACCTGCTGTTCGAGCTGCTCACCGGACGTACGCAAACCCACCAAGAAAAGAGCCTCCATCTATGCAACACGTGCCATTTCCTCCTTCGCTTCGTCCCACAGATCTGTTCTCATCGTCACGTCGGCTAGTTCAGCTGCTGCTGGGCCCCCTGCAGTCGCCATTGGCATCGTCATCGTCATCGTCAGCAGCAGCGGCATCGAGCAGCAGGAGGGCGGATTTGGGCGCTGGTGGTGGTGGTGGTGCGGGGAGTGACTGCAACAGCGACCTGGAGAGCCACATGCGGTTCAATCCGTTCTTCTGCGAGCGGGAGTCGTCCAAGCTGCACCTCTGCCGCATCAAGCTGGCGTGTCGCGTGGCGGAGGGAGAGGGCGACGTGGGTGTCGATGAGATCAGGCCATACCTCCCTGACCTCACCAGACACGTGTGGCTGCTGTTCCGGTGAGTAAGGGGGGTGGGTGGTCGACACAGGGGCGTTATGGATGGATGGTGGTTGGTTCCTTTCTGTGGTTCAGGGATTGTGTGCTGCTCCAGTCTGAGATGTCGTCGACGTTTCTCCGCAGCTACCAGCCATACAGCCTCGTCATGGCGGACTGCAAAGCCCTCGCCTCAACCTACCGCACCATCCTCACCGACACGACCCTATTCAGAGGCCTCAACGCCCTCGCCAGACACAACCACCTCCAGCCCCTCATGCAGCCCGCAGCCAAGCCGTCCTCACCCACCCCACCATCCCCACCGTCTGTCATCATCCTGGGCTATGCCGTCCACAGGCTCACCCAACTCGCGTCGCAGCGAGGCAAAGATGGGGCGCTTGGCGGCAACGATCTGAGTGCGTCGTTTCGGGAGCTGGGTGTGGGCGACTCGGCTGTGGGCGAGAGTGAGGTGACTGAGATGCGGTGCATTGTCGAGTGTGTGCGGCATCTGATGGGGCTGCGGCGGGAGGGCGGGGGAGGGGTCGCCGAGAGCGATTGGGGTTTCGCTGAGGAGGTGCTGAGAGGGGTATGGGAGGCGACCTTCCACCACACCGACCCCACTGTCAGGTCAGAACGAACCCACCATGCACGCCATGTGACACACTTTATGTCTCCCTGCTGCATGGTCATGTCATCATCAGGTCGATGCTTCTGCCCGATCTATTGGCCCTTCTCAACCACTTGACGGTCAACCTCCCCCGGCCGTCATCCTCGCCAGGCGACCCCTGCCTGCCCTTCTGGCACACGCTCGCCCGAGCCTCCTTCCAGCTGTGCGTCGTGGCCTTCAACACCATCGCGTCCTCACACCCATCGGCATCCGCCAGTCTTGTCCCGCTTGTCTATGACTTCTACGCACTGTGGCTTTCGACCATCACACCGGTGACCCACGGTCGACTCAGCGCCTTCTGGTGGCTGCTCTTCGTGTCGCCCTTCCCTGTGGACGTCCTGCTCACACACGGGAACCCACAGCCGGTGCTCAAGGCGTGGCGACACATCTGTCGGGCTCTCGCGGACAGCACAAGCCCGGCCTCGTCTCTGTTGGTGCTGAGGTGGCTGTTGGGAAGCCAGGATGAGCACCTGAGAGGCCGGCTGCTCAAGAACGGAGTGGGGGAGAGGCCAGACGGCGAGGGGGCGTTGAGCAGGGCGGGGTCGCTCGGGTCCCAGGCGTGGGCTAGCGAGAGGGAGGAGGCTGAGAGGGCGGCGCTGGTGCTGTTCGCTTTATTTGTCACAACGCTATCGCATTTCGACGGGTTTGACCGCAACGTTGACAAGCGACAGCTGGCGAAGAGTGCCGGCATAGCCCGTGGACTGTTCGACGCTATGATTTACGGCGACCAGGACGGCCTGCCCGTCACCCTCCCCCTCCCTCTGTCCATGACCCAGAGCCCGATCGTGTCGTCGCTGCACAACCTGCTCCAGTCGTCCAATTGCCGCTGGCTGGTGCCCTCGATGCTCGCCACCCTTTCCCCATCCCTCCTTCCCCTCGTCCGTGTGGCACCCCCTGTGTTGGTGGTCCCTTCCTCCCCACCGGTGTCATCATCTCTCATGAAAGACAGCGACGAGGAGTTCGGTCTCTCCAACGGCAAGGTGGGCGAAGACGTGCTCGAGGCCCTCACAGGCTGGCACGGCCTGCAGCTGTGTCTTGCCGCCATGACCGCCAGCGCCACCAAGGAGAGCGAGGCCGCTGCATGGGAGGGCGTGGCTCGGCTGGTGCTGGTGCTGGCGAGTGGGTGCCTGGAGGCGCTCATGGATGCGGCCATCGGGGCGAATTGCATCGTCAAGCGGACGGACGGCGAGCAGCAGCAGCAGGAGTGGATCAAGGTCTCCACTGGCGGGGCTGGGGAGCTGTCGGGCTACCACCGCACCATGGCAGCAATGCTCCTGGACTTCGCGTCACGCCACCAGGATGCCTTCAAGACAGCGCTCGGCACGGCACTCTCAGCACGGCAAAAGCAGCTTGTGGAGGCTCTGTTACGCGCACATCTGCCGCAGATGGCCAAGAGAGAGGATGGGAGGGAGGCAGAAAGGGGGCAGCAGGGGAAGCGGCAAAGGAAGGAGGGCCCTGTCAAGGCAGCGCAAGTCAAGGGGGGTAGAATCGAACTGAAAATGCAGTTCTAGCTCAGGCAGGCAGGCAGGCACATACCATGGGCACATATGTAGCGAGACCTGATGCGGCAATCGGAAACCGTTTTATGGGTGCGTGTGTGCGAATGCGCGTGTGCGGTGTTGACCGGTGGTTTTTCGGTCGTGTTCATGTGGTTCCTGTCCGCAATTCACTGAGGTGCGTACGTCCTCACAAGACTCTGACACGAACTTTCCACGGCTTGAGAGAGGCGGCATCGGATGGTGCTCCAAACACGTGAGGCCACACAAAACATGCCATGACTGCATCGCATCTCCTTGCGGCAGTTGGCGGAGCTCGAGACGCCCACGGCGATGAATTCGATCATGCCCCCGTCTCTCGTTCGGCGGTCGAACTCATCTGCGTGTGCAGGACGGGCCTTTGAGAGCGTCCAGGGGCAGGTGTAAGAGGGCCTGCCCCATCCTTTCCCTGCCGCAAGCCCGTGGACAGGGCCCCACATGCATTGCCGCGTTTGAGACGATTGTGTGGCCTGAATGGATGAATGGATGGCAGAAACCCGTCTGCAGTGACGTCTCGAGTGATGTCACACACACAGTCGGTGAATTGCGTGGCTCTAGCCACTCACAATGTGCACGCAGATGCCAGTGTACTGCTAGGGGAAAGCTGACTTCGGAGGGAGAAGTCCCCCCCACTCGGGATGCCCCGCTTCTCTTCTCGCCGTCCGTGCCGTGTGTGTAATGTGCATTGCCACGCTTGGTGCATGAATTCATTGTTGCCGTGGCTATCCATTCATTAGTCGCTGGTCTAGAGTCGGCAATGTACTCGAAGAATAATGGGGGGAACACAATCCCAGGAAGCATCCGACACAAACCAAACATCGTTCCCAAGCAAATCCCTCACGGCCGGTCCTGGCATGCGTACATGTGCATCTGCTCCCCTACGGCCACTGTCCTGCGCCCTGCTTTCTCCCGGCTATCCCCCCTGATGATCCTGACCATTCTCTGCCCCAGTGGTCTCTGCCTTCGCGTCTTGCACGCCCTGGCAATCAATTCATTCATCGTTGCACGAGAAACGATGGGTGAGCAGCGATATATATGCCTCTGGGTCAGTCAGTACTCAGTGCATTCAGTGCAAAGCGAAGCGTGAGTACGTGCACATTGCCGGAAGAACGATGAGTGGGTGGGTGGTGGAACCAGCTCCATGTCTCTCGTGCATGCAACCAATTGCAGGTAACCCGTCGTCGTACTCAAATGGTTCGTATAGGGTTTGTATCAGGGCTCTTGCATCCAAAGAGCAGCGAGACCGATTGACTACAGCACTCACTCCAGCACACTGTTCTCCGCTAGAAGTTATGATGATGATTGATGTGTAACGATGCGCCGGGAGCCACACACGCGTTGGTCAACGGAACGAACAAGCACGAACAGTCGATCATGATGATGTACATGTAATGATAACGAGCTACAGACACTCAAATGAACAAACGATGCTAATGAGCAGCACACGTGAATGCAATGGACATGCACAGACATGCAGACTGACAGACAGACAGACAGCCAACCAGCACGGCGCATACATCCAGGCCAATCAACACACAGTATCTCCACACGCCTGCTCACAGGGGGCACCCTCAGACGTCATGAGGCGTCTTATCTCACTGACAACACCAGCACTGCTGCTGAATTTCACTGTCATGTCTCACAGAGAGGCTAAGGCTGCCCTGCTCTCCTCTCAACACATCCCGCTCTCCTGGACACTTCTCCTGGCCACGTTGGGGCTTCAGATTTCTGCATGTCCTCGCACTTCTGGCTCGTCGGAGCTAACAAATATTGGCTCGGCCCTGCCTTGCAAGTCAAGCCGCGCCTCTGTGCGCGATGATGAGTGATCACATCTGCTTCATCTTGTCATCTGCACACCATCCACTGCCATGTACATATCGTCGTCTGCTGCTTTGCACTGTGCTGCTGATAGCTGCTGAATTGTTCGCAACGGCGAGCTGCCCTGGCAAATTCTGCCTCGTCGGAGCCAACAAACCATGGCTCGGCCCTGCCCTGCAGTGTCGAGGATCTGGTCCTCTGCACCCATCCACTGCCATTACACATGCTGTCATCTGATGCTGTACAAGTCTGCTGCGGAGAGACGGGGGCGCGAAAAAAAAGGATATCGCTAATTGAATTCGGAGGGAGGGAGCGGTTTCACGGAATATGAAATCTGCGAGCTAAGCCGAATTTCGTGTTCTCCCAAAGCTTCCTTCTCCTTCTCCTCTGTCTTCTGTGTGTGTCTTTCAGGCTGCCGTCACCGCTGCAAGGGAAGCGTCGGTGTCATTGAGATTGCGCCACTCTCCTGCACCGAAGCGGCTGCGTCCTGCGCCAGATCTACCCCTCACAACGCTGCCTATGATGGCGGAGAGGCCGCTCTGATGGAGCGGGAGGAGGCGACCTTCTCGGCTTTTTTCGCCAGTTCAAAGCAGGTGGTTTGGCCGCCTGTTCCGCGCCATCATCCCTTTCCAGATTGAGATCACTTTCAGCAACCGCGCGATCATCCGCGCGGGCGATCGCGACGCTGTCGTGAAAAGGAGAAATTCAAGCGCGTGCAGCGACGACGACAACGACTTCACGCCGCTGAGCAGCCGCATCGACACCATGGGCTGCTGCTGTGCGAGATTGGGCCACGGCCCAGCAGGTGAGGTGGACGGGAATGAATTGGGAAGGCCTTGGGCGATGTCAGTGAGTGCTTCTGGTGTCAGAGAGAAGCAGACAGATGCGTGGACATCCTGAGATAGCTACATGACAATGTGGTGATACAGGTGTATCACCTTCGTGTTTCTCTCGGTGTCTGTCTACAGATGAGGAGGCGAGGCGCAGAAGACTGGCGGAGGAGAGCGCCACGGGAGAGGTCGCTGCGGCACAGGTAACAGGGATGCCGAGGGGGAGATGTTGCACTCATCGGTTGATGCCATGTTCTTTCTCTTGTTCAACAGACGTCTGCGATGGGCGAGGAGGCCACCACTGACAACACCAACACCAACACACAGGTACCCAAACAAAGACCACATAGATACACATAGATACGTCCTCACCTTGCAGATGAGTGGTTAGTCGTATCTCTGTGTGTGGCAGGGGGCTGCGCCCGAGAGGGAGGCCACGATGGAGATGGGCGCCCATCGTGACGAGGAGGGGGAAGGGGGGGATGGGCAGGGGACGGCGGTGCAGCAGGAGGCGGGCCACCAGCGTGAGATGGACAGGTCCATGTCCACCCTGGTGCCCGCCATCGAGCTGACACTGGAGAGAGAGAGGGACAGGGACAGGGAGAGGGAGGCCATGCCGGTGAGGCCTCGCGGCACACCCACACGAGAGGGCCAGGTACACAGCACACCACTGGTAGAACAGACCTGCATGTACATCCAATCGTCACCTTATCTCTGTCTGTCCATGTGTGTTGTGTATGCAGGAGCTGCTCGCCCTCAGCGGCACGGAGGGGGAGGACATGCTCGCCGCCGCGGCCGAGACCGCATCCTCCTTCGTGTCCAAGGCCATCGACAACTCGCTCCAGTTTCTGGACGACACCGACGAGGCCGTAAGCGAAGAAAACGCCATCAATGGAGAGATACATCAACACATTGGGGTGCCTGTTGTGATGTGGTGAATGTCAGATTGAGGGCAAGAAGAAATGCCGCACCGCAGTCCAGCTGGCCGTTGACGGCTACCGGCAGCAGATCGACGACATGCGGGCGACCAAGGGCGGCTACCGGAAGAAGCGGGAAGCCATCCGGGAGCGGGAGCAGCGGATGAGGGAGCGCCAGGTCGAGATCGACGCGCTCGACAAGGACATCCGTAAGCGGGGCGCAGACAAAGCGGGTATACACAAAACAATGTGATCATTCCGTATCCGTTTTGCTTCAGAGCTGCTCCAAGCCCGGATCACCGCCCGCCCGCAGTCCCCCAGCCAGTCGCCCAGACAGTCGCCCAGCCAGTCGGCCGGCCAGTCGCCCACTCAGCCACCCGCTCAGCCCACCCCAGACACGACGCCCAGACCCCCCACGAGAGCGCCACAAGGGCGACGGCAGAGCAAGAGCGCCGCTGCAGCCGCTGCAGAGGAGGCCATGGACGAGGCGGCCAGGGCGGACCGACAGCAGGCGACAGACGACGCGTTGCTGTTCTTCATGCTGGATGGCCACCTCGTGCCGCAGGAGGACGAGGAGCGACTGCGGCCCCGCTACGAGGCCATCACAAGGGGGAGACGGGAGACTGCACCTGGTGCTGGTGCGGACGTCGCCCCTGACGTCGCCCCTCCTCCCTCCCAAGACACCCCGACCACACCAGACGCGGCAGCGAGTGTGGCAGCAGCAGTAGCAGCCCCATCACAACCAGCAGATGAGCCGTCGAGTGGCGATGAGGGCGGCGACGACCTTGGCGACGAAGAGGACCTCCGTCGTCCTGTCAGGGCGCGCCGCGGGGCGGCAGGGGAGAGGAAGGGCGGCGTGCGGCTGTATCAGCCGGTCGGCTCATCAATATGGCGCCCGCGGCCTGTGACGGACTTCCCCTCTCCGTCCGGCCGTCGTGGTGCGACAATGACGAGAAGCCGAGCGCCGTGTGGATGCTGCCCCCCTCCGACGGCCGGCGGTGGCGTCCCCATGCGGCGAGATGTGGTCCAGGTACAACAGGTGTACCTGGACCGCATTCTCGCCGACGTCGAGAGGGCCGCCGACGCTCCCTCGCCCTCCAGCTCGTCGTCCGCCCCACCAGACCCGCACATCACGTTCGTCCTGGACAACGACCATGGCCGTTTCATCACCGGCCTACAGCACGCCATCGGGCAGGCCCGCACCGCTGATGGCGACTGGACGGGGGCGGGCGAGGACGTGGGGTGCATGTGGGGGGATGTGGTGGTCAAGGTGGATGGGCGGTTGGTGGGGGGGCGGGAGTGGTATCAGGGCAAACTGATCGACTCGGTGCACTGCAGGGATCTGTGCGTGTTTTGGCTGAGCCGGGTTGATCGCTGATTGCATGTGGGGAAGGGGAGGGCGGAGGGAGGGAGGGAGGGAGGGCGGAGCCGTGTTGTGTTGAGGGAGGTCGCCGCGTCGACTCAATGTGCCATTTTCTGTGTGTTGGTGTGAAAGGGAGGGAGAGGGAGAGAAAGAAGAAGGGAAGAAGGGGGAAGGGGCAAAGGAAGCGAGGAATGGAGGGATCCCTGGGTCGAGCGGGGTGCTATTTTTTCTGTGTCGTGGTGTGACGGACGTGTGCAGCAGTTCCTATGCACTGTCACATGAGTTTGGTGTCGTTGATGCATAAAGACTGAGAGAACTGACCTGTCTATGGACATTCGTCACTAAGTGATGTGTCCTCCCTCGTATGCGCACCGACGTGCTGCACAAGATGGACTGAACTCAGAGAGCAAACCTGACTGAGTACTAGACAGCTGTGTATTTGGAGTGCTTCATCGCGCCTGATGCATTGTGGTGATGTGTGTCGTTCCGTGAGTGTATGGTGCACGTGTGCCGTGGCTGCGTGTGCGTGTCAGACAGACACAACTGGTAGGTAGAGATTCCTTGATCATGGGTCAAGTCAGTCCATCGTATCAACCACAAACACACGCAAACATCATTGAAACATGTACCGACGCACTCAGGCACTGATGCAGGAGACTCGTTCGGCGCGTGTTAAATCAATGCGCATGGATGGATGGATGGATGGATGGATGGATTCTCCGCTCGAAATCAGTGACACGCGCATGCGCATGGAAGGCCGCTTTCTGCACCACCAGCGCGGAACGGAAAACCAGACACTCTTGTACGGGAAACCAGCAGCTGCCGCTACTTGCTGCCTCTGAGGCGGGCGGCAACAAGTAGCTGCCTCTGAGGACAGCCACCGAGCAGACGCAACCCCACCAGCAGCACTAACGGCCAAGTAAGTACACCCTGTAAACGCCCCACAGATGCTCGCCGGTAAGAGAGGTTTGAAGCGCATCATGTGCCGCGGATGTTGGTGTGTGCTCCGTGTCAGGCGACAGTGCGTCCCCCGTTCGTCGCCAGCTTCCATCCCGCACCACGGCTGCTGCTCGGAGTGTGATGTCGACTGTGATAAGCCCCCGCCAGTGACGACGACACCCAGCCCCACGCCCACGGCCGCACTTCTCCCCTGCGGCTGGACCTGCCACACACCTGACCCGTTGAGCCTCTGTGAGGACAGAGCCCTCCAGGCGTGGCGATTCGCCTGTGACGAGATCTGCGCAACGGCCGGGGAATCTGGGCATTGCCCCCATCAGCCGAGGTGCACAGGCAACATGAAGAGTGCAGCAACATGCCGTCCGGCAGCTGTGCGGCCCGGTGCTACGACGGGCACACGAATATGCCGTATTGCTTCTGCCTGCCCGATGGCAATCTGACCACGGCCCCAAGCTTTATCGATGGCACTTTGCTCACGGCTGCTGCACGGCAAATCCTGGCGAATGTGGGAGTTGGCCGGAGTGATAACGCTTCGTTACTGCAGTGCATTTGTCTTTGTCTCTCTTGGGGGAGAGGGCGGGGGGGAGGGGCTGTCATCAATCCAGTGTTTTCTCTTCCTGCACATACTCGTGTCAATCTGACGCAATGAATGGCTGACAGATGGCGCTGTCTGTTCTCTCTGCCCTGCAGTTGCGTGTGTTTTGGTTGGTATCGGATAAGTGTCTGTCTGTCTGTCTGTTATGTGCATGCCACCTAGTCACTTCCTGCTGTGTGTGAGCTGATCGTGTGCACACAAGAAGTAGACTTGGCGCATAGAAGGGTGTGTCTGTATGTGTGTAATGAGCAGACGCGTGCATTGAGTCAGGCAATGCACAATGCACATGGACAAGTTGGTGCATGTGTGTGCACGTATATGTGATGGCGGCCATTGAGGGGCAGACCCATGGATACGTCTACCTCTGCCTCTGTGAGTGTGGGGAGACGTGATTCGACATATAAATCGACTTACTTTTGGACGGCAAGCCCGGCAGTACACACGTCATTTTCGTCTGTATGTATGTTTCCGCTGCACGCACCAAGTTGTGTCGCGTGCGCAGCGATCTCAATTGAGCAGTGTGAGCGAAAAGCAGGCACTGTCATGACGGCATGCACAGACGACAGCAAGTCAGCCAGTCACGCCGACAGCACACATGTCCGCAATAGGTGAGCCAGCAGGGCATTGTTCATCCGACACACCACAGCATCACACTGATGTTTCTCTCGCCCCTCCCTCTTCTCTCTCCCCGGCTGGCTGCGAATTGAAAAGCAAAACGATCGATCGACTCCCACCTTAGGCACGACCAAATGATACTTACGACTCGTCACTCAGTCACTCACACTCATGAATTTTCGCGTGTGTGGCTGAGGTCGCCATGGGCAGACAGACCACGCACTCAGCCAACCGCCGTGCATTGCATCCACGCTCACGTGTACATCATTACGCATCCCCGCCCTCTCCTACCACACGACGACAAGGCCAAGAGCTACACCTCATACGCGCCTATTGCGAGGGCAACAGAAAAAGCAAGGAGAAGGTTCTCTCCGAAATCGACAATGAATAAAACATGTCCACGCATCTCTCAATCGAGTCAATCAATGTGTTCCCTGGCAGGCAGGGGTAAGATTGGGGGAAGGTGGAGGGGGAAGGGGGGAAAGGGGCGCAGGGCAGGGTGTTGCGGGCTGCGATTGAGTCTCCTCATCCAGATACAGCACGTCCAGCACCTTGCTCGGCAACTCAGGGCTGCACAGAGAGAGAGAAAAGGTAGACGAAATATGTGCGTTTGAAATGAGAGAGAGAGAGAGAGAGAGAGAAGGTAGACGAAATATGTGCGTTTGAAATGCATATCGATCTGCCTGCTGTTGTCGGCTACTGCTCACCTGGTGTTATATGCCCACGACACTAGATACACCGGCTTGCGATCGATAGGTGAGTTCTTAAGGATATCCAAAACAATCTCAAAGTCACCATCGCCGGCCACCAGGACAAGAGCATGTACAGCTCTCTCCAGCTCTCGCCTCTGCAGCTCCATGGCAATCTTGACGTCACCGCCCCGCTGCTTCAACGAGTACTCATAGCAGAATTTGCATTGCGATGGCTTCAACCTGCGGAAGGTAAACAGAAAAAGCTCTTAGGACTCATTGTCGATACGTCGATGTGTTTTCTCCTTTGTGCATGCTCCTCCCACTCAATGACTGCTCACATACTTCGTTTCGAAGACGCTGTAGCGTTTTCTCTTCAGCGCCTCGTGAAAATGCCACAGCTCCTTTTTGGTAGCACTGCTGAGCTCGGTTGGATCGGTGCTCACGTACAGGCAGTGAAAAGGACTTACATGTAAGCCCCACTTGGTCTCGATCTTCCTCACAAGGACTTCAAAGTCCTTCACTCTAGGGGCTCTCCAGTAGTGGCCCTTGAATGTGCGATACCAGTAACCGCCATCCACAACGAGCGATGCGAGCGATGCGAGCGATGCATTGGGAAGGAAAAACGTGTCGGTTTTGATGGCGTTAGGTGTGTTGGGCTCGCTGCGCGCGCGCTGTGATGGTAAGTGAGGCGATTGACTGCACATAGAATACGAGGAAACAGGGGGATCCATTTGATAAGTAGTTGTATGTGTGTGCATACCTAGTCAAATGGCCATTCGGCGGAAGGGGCAAGAAGGGACCAGTCATTTGACGAGCACTGCACACAGACGCGAACAAATAGCATTCATCTGCAAGACGACTGGAACGAAGTGTACTTCGGTCATACGTACTCGCTGGGCGTAGGGTGCTGCGCAAAGACATGAGGGCTTGGCACGCCGCTGTTTGGTGGAACTCAAGTCGTTTCAAGCCTGAAAGAGCGTTACATACATCCGTGGACACGCGAATCGTCTCGTGGCATTTACCTGTCAATTCGGAGCTCGTAGGACGCGATATCTTCCTGCATGCCAATGACACACTTGAACGAATCTTGGCATATCAACCAGACACGTAATCACGTGCACAACTAACCTTTCAGTTGAAAGCGGGGGCACCACACTTCGATCCGACGCCTGCGACTGCGGAGAGGCCTGCGGCCCACAGGCAAGCATCTTGTGAGCACTGCACAAACGCAATGCACACAAAGATGTAAGCCTGCAACCACCATTCTTCTTCGCTGGCCAGCCACCTCTCTTGCTCTTCCACGTCGTCAGCTGCGCTCACATATGCTCCATCGGCATTATGTCCATGCGATTCCTCATGCTCGGTCGATGCAGCACACGGAGGCGGCCGCAGGTCGGAAACCGAAGGAGGGGGTGCATGTCCACGAGCCTCCTCGTGACCAGTGGATGAAGCATAGGGAGGGGGCAGCGGGCTGGACAGCGAATGAAGAGGACCACCCTTCGTATCTCCAGTCTCGGTCCCTGTGAATGGATCAGTGCCAAACAAGGGAGTCACCAGACGGGCAGGGCCAAGGGATGGCTGCTGTGCCGAAGTAGACCTGGACGAAGAAAGTCCCTCAACGAGAGAAGTGGCATCTGCATCATGACCACGCGCCTTCTGGTCATCATGGGATGCAGCAGGGAGAGGCGGCACCGGGCTGGAAATTGAGCGGGGAGAAGCGTCGATCGTGTGTCCGTTGTCCGTCCCCGAGGGAGTGTCCTCGCAAGGAAAAGAGGAGGGGGCAGGGTCAGGCTGCTGGGCTGAAGACGATGAAGAAGGTCTCTCAACGAGAACGCTAAGGACAACTAATGAAGAGAAATAACGGCTGATGATGACGCATCGCTTTGTTTCTCTGCTTGTTCCTACCTTGCATTGGTTTCTTCCGTCGCACCGCTACCCTCCGCTGCCGTTCGATTCATGCCCATTCGGAGTTCGCGCTTGGTAAAATGCGTGTTTCCCGCCTCTCCCACATCAGGAAAGCTCGTACGATAGCCTTCAGGGTTTTGTTGTGGTTGAGGACGTGCCCGAGAGGGTGGTGCGGAGTGAGCATGCGGCAGTGGCGCTTGTGCTTGTCGTGGGTCATTCCGGGTCCGACTGAAGAGTTCCACTTCCGCTTCAGAGTGTGCGTATGGGCAGGATCCTGGAACACAACACACCGACAGTAAAGGAGAGCATGCAAGGAGATCACCATCTCTTTCCTCTGCTTACTCCAAGTGCAGTCGCGCCAGGGCACGGTTGGGGGATTCCTGCGTGAGGCCAATTGCAGCTTTCGCCACCCCAACAATGCCCCTGCAGACAAGCAAACAAAGGATCAATTTGCCAGAAGAACGAGCAGGAGCTGAATGCGAACCCGTCGCCAGTAGCAGCAAGTCTTCCTGGGCCAGACGCCTGTTCAAATAGACACACACACACACACACACACACGCACGCACACACACGCACACAGCGGGTGAACGAGGTGCTTGTTTGTCCGATGGGGTGTGTCAAAAAGACGCGCTCTCTCGCTCTCACCTTCTCGCGACATCCGAGGCAAAGATCTGTCAGGATCCCGTCATCCTCCTCCTTCCTCAGTCATGATCGCGTCAAAGTGCCGTGATGCTGCTTTGTGTTTTGCAGTACTCCGTGAAACTGCTTTGTGACCGTTGCTTCACGCAGGGATCGGAATGATCATGCACACGAACGCTCATGAGGGCGTGCACATGAACACGAACAGCGAGTCAGGCAGTCACGCCGACAGCACACATGCAATAGGTGGCCCAACAGGTCATGACTCATTCATCACACCACAGACAGCATCACACTGATTGATGTATCAACCCTCTCCTGCCTTCGCTCTTTCCCGGGCTGCGAATTGAAAAGGAAAACGATCGATCGACTCTCACGTCAGGTTCGACCAAACGATAGCACGACTCGAGCAGTGTGCACTCGCACAAAGGCATGAAACACACCCTCACTCACTCATGCACATCCTCACGAACCGCATTCGCACATTCCCACGCACACACAGTACGCATACACTGCACACACATACATGCACGTACGCATCAATCCACCACCCCCCCACAGCAAGACGGCAAGACCATACGCGACAGACAAGACTAAGCGGTGCACCTCACACGAACCTATTGTGAGGGCAGCCAGTGGGTAGAAGGGAAGGAGAAAGAACTCTCCAAAGTCGTTCGACGAATCAATTCATACATCAACTTGGAGGCAGGGTCAAGAGTGGGGGAAGAGCAGGGAGGTGAGGGGGCGCAGGGCAGGGTGTTGCGGGCTGCGATTGAGTCTCCCGATCCAGATACAGCACGTCCCGCACCTTGCTCGGCAACTCAGGGCTGCACCGAGAGAGAGAAAAGGTAGACGAACATATGTGTGTTCGAAATATATATCGATCTGCCTGCTGTTGTCGGCTGCTGCTCACCTGGTGTTATATGCCCACGACACCAGATACACCGGCTTGCGATCGATGCAGCTCTTGAGGATATCCAAAACAATCTCAAAGTCACCATCACCCGCCACCAAGACAAGGGCATCCACGTCTCGGTCCATCTCTCGCGTGTGTAGCTCAAGGGCAATCTTGATGTCTCCGCCTCGCTGCTTCCCCGAAGGTTTCAACCTGCGGAAATGCGACCACAAAAAAGCCATTGGGACTTGTTGTGTGTACATATGCACGTGTATTCTCTGTTCGCCATCGCTCACACTGACTTCGTTTCGAAGACGTCATAGCGTTTTCTGGACTTCAGAGCCCTGTGAAAATGCCGCAGCTGCTCCTTGGCATGAGTAGCATTGCTGAGCTCGTTCGGATCGGTGCTCACGTACAGGGAGTGAAAAGGACTTACATGCAAGCCCCACTTGGTCTCAATCTTCCTGACAAGGACTTCGAAGTCTTCCACTTGAGGGGCTTTCCCGTAAGACTGCTCGAATGTGCGATACCAGTAACCGCCATCCACAACAAGCGATGCCAGCGATGCGTTGGGAAGGAACGAGCTGTGGGGCCTGATGGCGTTGGGTGTGTTGGGCACGCTCTGTGCGTGCGGTAAATAAGGCGACTGACTGCACACCCAACACCAGCAAAGAGAGGAATCGATTGAACGGTAGCTGTGTGAATGTGTGCGTACCTGGCCAGATGGCTGTTCGGCGGAAAGTAGTCGCCTGGTGTACTCGCAGCCGGCGAAAAGGGACCAGTCAAATGACGAGTTCTGCACGCAGACGCGAACAAATAGCATTCATCTGCGGACGACTGCACCGACCCGTAGTACGGTCATACGTACTTGCTGGGCGTAGGATGCTGCGCGAAGACATGAGGGCTTGTCATGCCGTTGCTTGGTGGAACAAGGGTCGTGTTAAGCCTGAAAGAGCGACGTATGCATCATCCGTGGACACGGCGCACTGTCTCGTGGCCCTTACCTGTCAAGTCGGAGCTGCGCAGGACGGCTGATCTCCCTGCATTTCAAGGTCACACCTAATGTGTCTTGATCTATCTATCATACACATGCAAACTCACCTTCCTGGGAGAGGGGGCACCACACTTTGATCCGACGCCTGTGACTCGTGTGCATTGTGTTCGTTTATCTTGCGTTTATCTAGTGCTTACGAGATGCTAAACCACGGTCCACAGGCCTACACACACACACTCACACACACACACATCACACACAAATACTCTCTGAGTTTGCTGTCTCTCAATTGTGTATTGCTAGTCACAAGCATTGAATGGACCTCGGCTCCCGCCGAACAAAGTGCACACATACGGAATGGATGGCTGGGCCATTGATGCGATTTGTTAATCGTGGCGCTGGGAGCCTGGACGGGCGACAGACACCGGCAGCGTCCAGCCAATCTGCACACAGACAGAGAGACAGAGAGACAGAGAGACAGACAGACAGACAGAGGGAAGGGTGGGCGTATGTGCGTGGATGCCCCACCCACACATCCGTGCAGGTACCCGCGCCCGGCAACGTCTTCTGTTCGGTGTGCGATGCAGTGAGCACAATCGCCATCAGACATAAAATGTAGGCAGCAATCTTCTGTCTGTCTGTCTGTCGGGCCCCTCGCACCACCTGCACCATAGACAAAAGACACATCACACAACAATAGCATATGTGTTATTGGCTGACTCACTCACTTGCTGTTCGATGGTGGGGATGCGGTCCGGCCGGCGATCCGGGGGTGGGGATGCGATTACCCTTCCACGTGTGACACTCTTTGAAGTAATCCAGATCCGCCTGATCGATGACGGACGAGGAAGGGAAGAGCGCCGAGACCACAAGGGGGGAAGGTGGAACCATACATCCGAAAACACACCACAGCACAGCAGCAGAGGGGAAAAAGTGCAGTGAGTACACACCACATCCGGCGCAGCTTCACGACGGACCTGCACCCATCACACAACGGACAGAGATCACACGGATGAGATGTGACATCCCCGTCTGTGTGTGTGTGCATGTGTGTGTGTGTGATGGACATACTTGAAGTACAACTGCACGAGCTTCTCCCACTCCTCCTGAAGGACCGCCTTCATCTGCGACACACACACACCAACCACAGCGCCACACAATGACGAGTGAGCCCAGCAGCTGCGGCTGTCTGTCCTTCCTTCCATCATGTGTGTATGTAATGGGATGGTTCGTGTGTAAATATACACGCACCGCATCTCCTCTCCTACTCCGATGTAAGAACGTGGTGTGTGTGTGTGCCGTACCTGGTCTTCAGTGCGGGGGCGATCACCGCGCTGGTCGCACTTGAAGTAGTCGAAATCCTCCTAATCGATGACGGACGAGGATGGGGTAAGGAAGGTGGAAGCGTACATGCGAAAACGCAGCACAGCTACCGTGCTACTGTTCTACGGCGGCCATGACTAATGCCTCCCTCCCAACCTCACTACCCGTCTCCCTGCCTGTCTGCCTGGCTGACCGCCCTCCGTCACTCACTCACCTCGTCCTGTGAGACGGGATGGGGCTCCTTGAGGTCCTTGCGCAGCCGCTGCTCGATACTACGGCGGTAGGCGGTGCCGGGAGCCAGGTAGGCCGGCGGGATCTCTTCCGGCAGGTCGAGCGGCAGCAGACGGGCGAGCTGCAGCACCTCCGTCATCCTGATTGATAGATGCCAGCCAACGATATGCGCAGCCAGGAGGCAGAGAGGGAGGGGAGGATAGTGTGTGTGTGAAAGGTAGGTGTCTGTGTCTGTGTCGACCGACCGTGTGGCTTGAGGTTTGGTTTCCTTGGGGTTGGCGACGAGGCAGTCGATGGTGGGGATGCCGTGAGGCTGCGTGCCGTCCCCCTGCACCGGGGCACGCAGGTCACGCGACACACAAGACAGCCAGACCTGTTGACAGCTCGACTGCGCTATTCCTCGCCGGCTTGTTACTCACCTGTCGGCGTCTGTGTCGCCTGATGGCCCGGTTCTCCACAGACTGAGTGAGACAGCCAGCCAGAGCCAGCAATGATCAACAAACACACCTTTGCGAAAGCCCCTTCAGCGTGTCTTACGCCTGGTGCAGCCGTGGTGAGAGGGCGCTGGCCGTGACAGAGGACAATCTGATGTAGGCACACACAACGCACAGTCGCATCAGTCGGATGGATGGCTGGGTCGTTCGTTGCTTCTTAGATTATGTGACCGAGTCGTAGTGCAGGCCGCTGAGGTGTGAGAGCCGCATTGGGTGGGGACTGCAGGCGCTGCCCGTCTGGTGACGCAACTCTGAAAGGACAGCGCAGCGACAGAGGGCGGCGGGCACATGACATGGATGCATCTGTGAACGTGTGTGTGTTTTGCTGTCTAGGTGTCAATCAAGGTGGCTACGGTACCGCTGATGGATGCGTCGTATATTTCTATTCTGCGGTCGGGCTTCACAGACCGTATCTTGAGGCCACAGGCCGCCAGATGGCTCCTCAAACCCAAGTTGGTGGAACCATCAGGCGGGCAGGAAGTGGCTGAGGGTGACGGCGGCGGGTGGGGCTCCGGCGGCCCTTGCTCTTCTGGGCGTGCTTAGTCTTACCCATTTGCCACAAAGCTGGCGGATCTGCAGCAGCGGTTTCAAAGATCCACTCCCGCCAGGACGCCTATTCTTCTTGCTACCGCCCTTCCCTCCCCCGCCCAAGGGTTCTTGACGTAACGGAAAGCGACACTGCTCTTCTTGGCGTGCTTGCTCTTGCCCGGTCGCCAAAGGTCGTTTGTTGGTTTGTTCGTTCCTCGATGAGGTGTGGGTGAAATGAGATGCAATGGGAGAATCTGCCGCTTAAAGAATAAATATCGTCTGGAGACAGAGGATATATTTTCGACACACCAGAATTTACAGAAAGAACAAGAGGGGGGTGCTTCCCACCTCTTTCCCCGGCAGATGCAAATGGGGGAAATGGGCATGGCGATGGAGGCAGCTCGAGGACGAACGAAAGAAAATGTGGCGGGCAGCCCCGACATCCATGCAGGCAGCCCGAAGGCTGCACAGCCCACGACACGTGTGCCTCAGGCAACGCTCCTGCTGGAACGAAAGATGCCATGCCCTCACACTTTTGCAATGATGTATCACACATACACACACACTTTTATTTGTGTCTTGCACACAGAAGGACTTGAGCCAACCAGGACGAGAATCCACCCACGGATAGGCACTTTGCAAAGCAACACTGACTCCATCTCACTCAGGAACGCAGCCAAGTACCAGCCATACAGTCCGCGGATCGCATTCATTGCTGCATTCTGGAAAGATGCGCTAGAAACCGTCAATCCATCCATCACGCAAACACTGCTTCCTTCGGATGGGATGATGCACTGCACGGTGGCCAAGTAAGTTGTTCCATCCATCCACAAGACACACGGCGTCCCGTCCACCGTCCGCCTGTCTGTCCCTCGATGGATCCGATCCATGCACACACCTGTCTATCTGCTTCATTTCTTCCGCCTCGAAGGGGTCCCTCGCGCCTCCGCCGCTTGACGCCTCGTCGTCGGACCCCTCGGCTGCGGGGCTGACGCACGGGGACTCTCGCCATCATCCTGCACTCACAGACACCCCACACCCCCACACCCCACAATATCATGCACCGCGCAGCCCATCCCATTCTCCCTCCCATACCGCGTTGGCAGCAGCAGCAGATGCCCGTGTCCTGCGTCCTGCGTGAGGCTGTGACGGCTGAGGCTGTGCGCCCTCGTCGCTCGCAGCAGGCTGTGAAGCGATCGCGACAGCCGCCGGTCCTGCCGCTGCAGCGGCATGCTGCTGAGCTGATGCCGTCGAGCTAGCTGCGGCTGCGGCCGACTGTGTCGCGGCTGATCCAGCAGTGACGCTCGCACCGGTGGCGGGGCCACCACCAGGGCCCTTGCCGGTAGCCGTCATGGCGGGAAACGTCGGCGGCCGGACTGCACGAACCTCTGGAGGTCGAGGGGCCATCGGCATGGCATAGGGCACAGCAGGCGCCCGTGGTGCTGATGGAATAGAGTATAGAAGGCGGCTTGGCGGCATCGGGGGGAAGGGGGGCGGGTGGGCCACGGGCCCACGAGGACGGGTCGGCTGGGCTCCTGCCGATGGGGCGTTGGGCTCGCTCTTGACATCTGCCGCCTGGGCCACCGATGCACCACCGTCTGGGGGTGTCGCCACTCCACCGGCGCTTCTGGGCTGGGATGTGACCCCCGACACACTCGGTGTCACGGCATTGGCAGTCGCCCCCTGCACCTGCCCAAGCCCTGGCGCCTCAGGCGCTGGTCTCGATGCGACGGGCGGGGCAGTGGCCGGTATGGCGTGCATCGGCTGGTAGAAGCCATGCTGGATCGGGCCAGCACCAGCTGTCATGCCACGCTGAGCTGCAGCACCAGCAGTGGGACCCACACCCACTGGCGCTGGCCGGGTAGCGAGACCGAAGCCCATAGGGAAGGTCGGTGCGAAGGGCGCCCCGGGTTGATAGAAGGCGGGAGCCATGGGCTGGAACATGCCCACGCCAGCCTGGCCCGCAAACATGGGAGGGGCGGCGGGGGGGCGAGGGGCCGCTGCAGCGACGGAGACGCTGGTGGTCGCAGGGGCTCGCTCCTCCTTGATCAATGGGGCTGTCGCCGGTGCAGTGATGCCGCTGGATGCCGCACCGACAGCTGAACCGCTGATGGCCCCTGCCTGCCCTGCTGCTGCGGGTGTCTGCGACGACGTCACGGCTGCAATCGACGCTCCTTGTGTGGTAGGTAGCAGTGGTGCTTGTGGGGGTTCCAGTGGGCCGGCAGCTTTTGGCCGGATGGTCTCTGTCTTGACCCCGGTGGCCGCGGCTGCTGCCGCCTTCATGGCGTCCATCTCCACACGGAAGTTCTGCTGGAACTGATTCACGGGCTGTGCCGACTGCATATAGTTGCCCAGCCAGGGGGCGACGGGCGCGGGTCGCGCCGCACCAGCAGCATGCACGCCCGTCGGCTGTGAGAGCGAAGCGAAGCCAGTGCCGGGCGAGCCGCGACCGGCGGCCATTTGCACCCCCTGAGGGAACTGAGGTGTCGGCGGCCGTGCAGGCAGCTGTGGAGTCGACAGGCTGACCGGCTGTGTGCCGCTGGGTGCGCTGACTGCAGCCGGAGGGGCGACTGCCGCAGCAGCAGCAGGAGGGGGGCGTACAGGTTGCTGTGGGGGCGGGATAGTGGGCGCCCGTTGAGCGAATGGTGCTGGGGGCGGTCGTGTGGCTGTGGGTGAGGAGATTGGCGGGGGAGACGAGTCACGGGGGAACGATGTCGCTGACATGGGAGGGCAGACAGACAGACAGACAGACAGGATGTGGCAGGATCGTGTCCACATGTGTGTGATGTGTGTGTGTGCTCACATTTGTATGGGTGGAAGGAGAATGGAGGCGCCAACAACGGAGGCCGGCCACGATGCTTTCGCTGATGGAAGGCACAAACAAAGCCAAAGCGACCATTATGACCCACAGAGACACGTGAGTGTCCCTCCCACGAGTGCTCGTGCAGTGAGTGCATCGATGTCCTCCCTCACCTTGAACTTCTGGCTGAGGACGAACTCTGCGTCTCGCAGTTCCTTTTGGCTGATGCGGTTGCCGTAGAGGTGCAGGAACTGCACCTTGCTCTCCTCATTGTCTCTAAGCGCCGAACACAGACGGTCACCCGCACCGGACTTCTGATAGATAAACGAAGCGCAGCCAGCAAGTCACCCAAACAGACAGAATCAATCAGTCGAGCCATGCCATGTGCATGGGTAAAGGTATAGCCAGGCGTGTGGCGTACGTTGGCTCCGCCGCTCCACGAGATTCTGTTCCAGTAGAGGTCGAGCACCACGAGGGTCTTGTTCTTGCCCAGCGCAACGGCGAGGTCACAGCCACCTGCACACACAGAGACAAACGGAGACAAAGAACCGACACGTCACGCCCACTCATCCATGCACGACTCGCTCTGTCTCTTGTCCTTCTGGGCATGTGTGTGACTGACCTTGGTCCTTTATGTCGTTGAATTTGAGTGAGAGGCTCTGCAGTGTAGAGTTGGCTTCCAGCCCGCTCGCCACCGACGTGGCCCCCGAGTCGCCCAGACCACAGTTGCTCAGATCCAGCATCTGCACGTCAACGAGCAGATGCGTTGTGCGGGAATGCGGGAGACACGATTCGTTGGCCTGGCTGCTTACGGTGAGTGTCTTGTTTTCCCTGATGAGTTTGGCCAGGACGGCGTTGACGTGGCCGTTGGCTTTGTCCAGCAACTGGTTCTCCTGCAGTTAGTGTCACACACATGTGCAGTGCAGGGCAGTGCAGTGCAGGCCAGACTATCACTGTGAGTGAGTGTATTGGTTCGTCTGGTCTGTGTGTGGTGTTCCTTCTATCTGACGTACGTACCTGCATTTGGAGCGACCTGAGGTGGGTGTTGTGCACGAGGGCGCCCAGGATGCCCGTGGACGCCTTGAGGCTGAATTTGCAGTCGTTGAGGTTGAGTGACTGGAGGAAGGGCCCCTCCGTCGTCCTCAGCAGACCCTCCAGCGCCACACCCACTGAGTCATTGAAGACGTTGTCCTGATGGATTCATTGATTGGGCAGACAGTCACGTCACGCACGGATGCCTCGACATGGCCGTGATTCACGTCATTTGATTGATGTCAGTCAGTGACTTACGGCGAGGTTGAGATCGACGAGGTTCTTGGCCGTCTTGGGCGTCAGGTGTTGGACCAGCACACGACCACCACTCAAACTCATGAGCACACTGCAGGCAGTGAGCAACACATGACATCAATGAAGGCACACATACACATACACATACACATACACACATGACATGCCCACAGAAAGGTGGCATGGCATGGCGGGGTGGGGTGCTCATACACAACAGACAGACAGACGCGTTCGTCTGTCCTCACCTCGCGAGCCCGAGTGTCTTGAGCTTGGGCAGATCCTTCAACGTCATGATCAGCAAGGCGATGCCACTGTCACCCAACCGGTTCCTGCCATGCCAGCGGGAGGGACACAAACCAACAAACCAACACACCAACACACACACTCTTCATCCCATCCTCGTATGTATTAGCCCTCTCCCTGCCTGTCACTCGGTCGCTCGCTGACCTGGAGACGTCGAGTGTGACGATGCCGTGCATGTGGAGATGGAAGCCCCGCAGCAGCTTCCACGAGTAGACGTGCGGGCAGTATAGGCCGACCACCATCCTACCCAGACCGCTGTCACCCCCCTTCTCCACCCCGCCAGCGCCGCCATCGCTGCCCGTGGCGCTGCTCGAACCCCTCACTATCGGCGAGTGTGTGTGCCTCGGCGTGGCGCCGCCGCCCGCCTGAAGCGTCAGGCTGAGAGACCGGTGAAGAGGCTCCGGCTCTGGCGGGTGGTCCACCTGCATCACTGACGACGACGAACGGACCACTGAACAGAACACAACACACAGCACCAGACAGACAATCATCTTCCATCCATCCATCTATCTCAGGTCATGCTCACGTGCTTCCTCAGGCGGCAGGTGTGTATGCGAGACGGTCTGCAGTGCGTCCCTCACGCCGGTGGAGGCCAGGCGGAAGCGCAGCACGTCCTCGCTCCCCAGAGACGACACGACCAGCCACACGGTGTCCCTCGCCAGACACTTGATGTGGTCACCGCCCTTCGTGACCTCCCTCATAGCCCGGCTCGTCCCTTTGCTCTTGAGCCGCTCCATCTCTGCTGCCGTGGCCCGACGCGAATACCGGTACCCCACTGAGTCTCCGGTGCCGCCTGTTGTGGCCGTGGCTGCTGGTGCGTCACATTGTGCTGATGGCTGCGGGTCATCGGGTGCGAATCGATAGGCCCAGTGGGATGACGGCCACATGATTGATGAGAGGGATGGTGGATGAGTCAGTCGTCCGTCACGATGCTCTTCGGAACCAGATGATGACGAGATCACAAGACATCCGAGTCAACGAGAGCCTTGCGTCAGGAGCGCGAGAGATGAGCCTCAAACTTCAAGCTCGCAAATGTCAACCGATCTTCCGCGAACACCTTCTTGGAACACCAGCTGTGAGCCAAGGCATCACAAGATGACCGACATCTGCCATTTCTTTCGCGAATCGCAACGGTATGAATGATGATGCTGTCTGCAGAGATGTCATGAGGAGCTAATGAGGAGCGGCATCGCTTGACGGGATGAGACCTCATGTTCGTCCGCCTGCTCATGCTCTTCCTCGGCTGCTCAAACAGCTGTCGTGAAGGCCTCAGCACTGCACCTGCCCTGCATCGGACGCTCGTGTTCATCGCGCTTCCCGCTACTGATCTGAAGCCCTATCGGCCTGTCCTGCGTTCGCACTGTCCCGCCATGGAGATGAAAGCCATATCCCCTCCCACCACTGCAGAGAAACCCCGAACAACGCGGTCAAGGCGCTCTCGTAGGTCCCGAGAGCCCATCACGGTGCCTGCCTTCGAAGAATTCGACTCCGATATTGTTCGCTCGATGTGCGAGCGGGAGCTGAGATGGTCGCCGGGGAAGCATCTGTTCCGCCAACATCGGCAGATCGACGCCTGGTATGACGGGATGGTGGCCACAGTGGGGGAGGAGTATGTTGAGTTCCTGGTTGGGCTGCTGGTGGCTGCGGGGAGTGCCGATATAGAGGGCGGTACGCGTGAGGGTGGCGGGGCATCGCTGCGTTATCAGCTGGAGCTGCGGACGCACCAGCTGGACCTGTTGCTGTTCGTCCAGTGGGCGCTGGGGTGCGGGGTGCTGAGGGCAAAGAGGTGGCACGGCAAGACCAGGCAACCTGTCGCTTACTCACTCCAGTTCCGCGACAGAGACTCCATCCTTAAACTCGCAAGGCTCTTCTCAGGTATGTGGTGTGTTGAGTAGAGAGAAAAGATACGACTGCAGCATGCTGCATGACTCTCTCTCGGCTCTTGTTTGTGTGCTCTCTCTCTCTCTCTCTGTGTGTGTGTGTTGTGTGCAGGTCGTGTGTGCAATCCCATGGCGCAGCGTCGGTTATCTGAGTGGCTGCAGATCGCCAATCTCCGCTTTGATGGCTTCTGGTTCGATCCCCTTTTCCCCGCCCCCGAGGAGACCCCGCCCGCACAGCTGGCCGGCTTCCTCGAGATCGTCGGCATCTTCACCGCTCGCATCTTTGAGGTCAAGAAGAAGAGGTCATTATCTGACGGCAGCAGCACCGCCACCGATGACAGTGGAGATGGCAATCCTCCACGAGCGTCGACAGCCCCCGGCATCCACCTAATGTTCCGGTCGCGCACTTGTAATGCCACGCTCTCTTCCTACCTCAAGACGATGGTCCAAGGTGGGCAGATCCTCCCTGACGGCTCTTACGCGTGGAAGGGCCGCCATCCGAGTGACTTCAAGCCCCTCCTCACCCGGCTGGACCGCACCCCGCCGCTGTCAATGGTGCGGCGAAGATCTGTCGGCAAGTGGCGACGGCTACTAAGCAAAATGGGCGATGAGGAGAGCCTCAAAGCGTATGCGAGGCGCATCAATGACCACGTCGACCGGTGCTATGCGCACAGGCGGCAGGGGCTGCCCGGGAAGTTTGTCTATCGGCCGCCGGGCAAGGCGAGATCCAGTGACTTCCTCAGTGAGGAGTATCTTGGTGCTTATCGGTTGCACGGCCACTGGCGCGCGATGCTGTCCAGGTGGCGGAGGAGTGGGCGGGGGGAGGGGGAGG